GATAGAGGGGCATACTTCCATATCACTCAATGAACTGGTTATGGGTATCTCTCTCATTCTAAATTCCACGTTTTTTAATTTCAATAAAAAATGTACAAACAAGTTTTTGGTACACCAATGGGCTCTCCATTATCCCCCATCATAGCGGATATTATTCTGCAAGACTTAGAATGTTTAGCCATAGAACGTTTACCGTGCACTCCGTATTTTTATTACAGATATGTTGACGACATCCTCATTGCAGTCCCTAACGACCTTATAAATAAAACTTTTTCCATTTTCAATTCGATACATCCAAGATTACAATTCACACTGGAAGTTAGTAATAAAAATCAGATTAATTTTCTCAACGTTTTAATTATTAATGACAACTCAAACATTATCTTTGACATTTTCCATAAATCTACATACTCGGGAAAATATTTAAACTTCCATTCACACCACCCTTTAACACACAAAAAAGGCGTTATTATTGGCATGGTTGATAGGGTACTAATGTTATCCCATCCACAATTTCAACAAAAGAATTTAGAAGACATAATAACTATCTTATTAAACAACAGTTATCCTTTAGATTTTATTTTTTTAACAACTTAAAAATAGAATAAAATTTCATATACACAAAAATTTTAACAAAAAAGACAATAACAACGCAAATACGAATAATAATAACAAAAGAAAGATTTTTACGATATCATATGTAAAAAATTTATCGGAACAATTTATTCAAATCTCAAAAAATAACGACAGTATGTTGGCCTTTTCGTGTGACAATAAACTGAACAAATTTATAAAAACTGGAAAAGACTCTCTAGATAGGATGAACCAATGTGATATTGTGTATAAGATTTCTTGCCGAGACTGTGACGCTACGTACGTAGGACAGACAAAAAGACAATTACGGACTAGAATAAAAGAACACAGAACGGATATTAATAAAAAATCAGGCTCCCCCTCAGTAATTTCGTGCCACAGAATGGATTTTAATCATGACTTCAAATGGGACGAAATTGATATATTAGACAGAGAACCTTGTTACAGTAAAAGATTAACTTCCGAAATGCTACATATAAAAAGACAGAATACAGGACTGAACAAACAGGAGGACACAGAATCATTACCGGATACATATCTTCCAATACTCAAAAAATTCCCCACCCTGTAGTTTTCGTTTACCTATCCCCTCTTGCCTTTCCATCCTACATCCTTACCAGTCGAGTCCCACTCACATCCGTGGACACATGTCACAGTTTTAATTGCTTTTACATAGTAGTGACGAACCGTTAAGGTATTGATATTCAAAATTATTTTATTTTATTTTTAATTTTTTTATGGTTTCATATCTTTGTTTTATCTAATTTTTTATAATTGCTTTCAATCTGGTTTATTTTTCTAATTTTGCAAGTTAGACGGTCCGTGGCTTCACACGTATATAACTTTACTAACCACATTGTACTACACGTTTATCAGAGGTATTTATATAATTTTTTTTCTACAACTTGTTTGAGCCGTGAGAATACCCCTAATTTTGGTTTTTTCACTTTAACAGGATGCGTTTCCTTAGTCAAAAATAGTACCAAAGCTTCGCTAATCATGTACTAAGTTTTAAAATTTGTATTACACTGAAGATGGCCACGTACCTTGGCCGAAACGTCTGTAGAATTTTATAAATAAAAGGAATTTTTGAGCAAATCGATCCAGCTCTTGCTCTATTGGCTATATATATTAAAATAATTATTTTAAAAAGAATACTAATTTGCTCTTATAAATAGAAAAATGAAGTCATTTTACAACATACATATTGCAACAAAGTGCAATTTAACATGTGCAATTATTGTTAATAAATATAAAATAATATTTTTTAGCCAAAAGCATTATCTAATCCCTGCCAGCACTATACGTGAAAGAGACGTTCTATTTTGGTCACAAAGTCACAAAAAATATGATACGTCTTTCGCACGTTACCGCGACGTAACATACAAATAAAATTTAATTAATTATTTGTCTTATTTTCTGTTGTTTTATGATTGTTACTTAGAAAATAAATGTATTTTACTTTTTATAAAATCAAATTATTAAATTTATAAAATTAAATTTAACACGTAACCGTTACGTCGCAAAGACGTTGCATATTATATTGATAATACTGCTGCTTATTGCAATAATGTTACACCCACATAGTTGGTAAAATTGATATCCGCCGGTCGCCGCCCGTAGCAGAAAGCGGGAACAGAGAGTTTCTCTCTCTCTCTTTCTCAACGTTAACACGTGTATTTCTTGCACATATTTCCTTTATTCAGAGTGATATTTTTGTGTGGTGATTATAAATATTGCATTGAGGACTCATATAAAAATCAGAAAGATAAGAATTTATTCACAAATCATAGTCAATCAAGGCCAAATCCTTGAAGAAGAAGAGAAAAGTGTTTCTTTTAAGTGAGCTTGCAAGTAGACCAACATGTAAGTAACCAGTTTTTACGCTTTAATACACTCTGTCATAATTACTTTCAATGCATTATTATGTTCTTTTTTTCTTTGCCTTCATTACTCTTTCTAAATCTTTGACTTCTGCGTCAAACTTATAATACATAATTAACCTAATTTAACCTAATATAACCTCTGTGTTAGATTAGGTTAAATAAATAAGAATTATATTTGATTTTTTTTACTTTTTTATTCTGTTGGACGAGTGCTATTGCATTTTGTATTTTATTACATATTGTTAAATATATTTTATGTAATTGTATCTTTTATGATAAATCACACTTTTGTTTATACAATAAGCATTAAGCATAGATAAAATATTTTGCAAGTGTTTATATAAGAAATTTATTAAAAAAAAAAGTAACAGATAAAATTAAATTCAATGTTTCTAGTTCCATAATGTCACAAACTATAAGAAGCAGAAAATTGGCGAGCCAACTTTCAAAGAGATATTTTCGCTATCGATTGAGAAAAATAACAAATTGTCAATATTCGAATAAGCAAAATGTGAATCGTTCTAGATTCCAAAAAGATAATGATGAAAGTGATGGAAAACAGAGTAATGAAACCTGTGAAAATGACAACAATAATGCATTTCATAATATAGATAATAACAATGAAGAAGATGATAGCGATACTAGTAATAATAGTGATACCAGTAACGCATGTGGAATTATAATTGACAATACCAATTTTTGTGACATCAATGATTGTGAAGTTGAAAACAATGAAATGGAAGATGACTTTACTACATCTCATCTTGCTAAATGGTGTAAAACTTTAAATGTACCTATGACACATGTTAATGTGCTACTGAAGGACATAAGAAAACATAAATGTTTTAAAACTGTATTTCCTTCAGATATTCGCACCATATTAGGTACACCTAAATTTACTCCACTTAAATCTGTACCTCCTGGGGAATATTATCATCAAGGACTTATAAGTGAATTAGTTCGAATATTATCAAAATGTAATATTGAAAAAGTTAATTTAACTTTGAATATTGATGGGTTGCCTTTATCTAAATCTTCAGGTCAACAACTTTGGCCAATTTTAATAAGTGTTGCGGGAGTACAAGGTGAAATAATGGTAGGAGCTTATTGTGGATATAAAAAACCAAATGACATAAATTTATTCCTAGAAGACTTTGTCAATGAAGTCAGTTATCTGATTAATAATGGTTTAGAAATAAATAATAGACTGCTTTCTGTGAGATTACAATGTATAAGTGCAGATACTCCTGCAAAATCCTTTTTACTTTCTACAAAAGGCCATACTGGTTATGAAAGTTGTTTAAAGTGTTTTATTCATGGCAAATATGTGAAAAACAGAGTGTGTTTTCCTGGCACAAATGATGACTTGAAAATGGCTAATGATAATACTGACTTTCAAGACAATAATAATATTATGCAATTTATTCCACATCTGGATTTAGTTTTTGATGTAGTTCTCGACTACATGCATGTTGTTTGTTTAGGAGTCACTAAAAAATTATTAACTTTATGGACAACTAAAAATAATTATTATAAACTTGGTCAAGACAACTAAAAAAGAATCTCAAACAGATTAGAAAATTCAATAAACATGTGCATGACTTTAGAATTTCCTCGTAAACCAAGATCATTACAAGATTTAAAATATTACAAGGCAACCGAATTTCGACAATTCCTTTTGTACATAGGACCTATAGTTTTGCAAGGACTTTTAGATAATAACATATATTTGAATTTTTTGATCTTACATGTATCTTTGCGGATTTTGTGCATGGAAAATGCCAGTGAAGAAATGATTATTTACGCTGATAAACTGTTGAAAAATTTCAATGAAACATTTACTATACTATATGGCGAAGAAAATGTATCTTTCAACATTCATGCTCTTTTACATTTAGCAAACGATGTACGCAAACATGGACCACTTGATTCCTTCTCAGTCTTTCGTTTTGAAAATTTTCTTCAAAAAATTAAAGGTCTCATACGTAAACCCCAACAAATATTATCTCAATTACATCGCCGATATGCAGAAATACACAATTGGATAGATGTAAACAAAAAATATGTCAGAAAAAATGAATTTACCGTTTTACAAGAATCTTGTCATGAAGATGGCCCCCTTTTACCTGATTGTAGCGATCCTCAATACATGAAAATTGTTGGATTTGGTTTTACTTTTATAGCTGATGACAGAAGAGATAATTGTTTTTTGACTTATAACGGAGTTATTGTGATACTCAGAAATATTGCTTTTAATAAGAAAAAGAATTCTTTAGTCCTAATAGAACAATATTTTACTGTTGTTGAAGATTTTTATACTCTCCCTTGCAAATCGCAACTTGTTGGGGTTTATCTTGCATCTAAACTTTCTAATCTGAAACAATGGCCTTTTAATGGAACTATTAAAAAGAAATGTTTATGCGTACCATGGAAAAAAAACAAAAATGTCATTATATCTCTATTACATTCTCATGAATAACAATTTCAAGAAACAATATGTGAACAAAAATATTGAAATTTTGTGGTATGTTATATATGTAAACTCGATTTTTCTTCTAAATTTGTTGCAAAATATTAATTTATATATATTCATTTTTTTCTAGATTATTATATAAGATATAAAAAGGAAAAATTACTGGCATGGATGATAAAGAATTATTTTATGTTATCGAGTTCTACGATGGGATCCAAATCATTCCAGATAACTGGATTATTGAAAATGAAACTTTAGCATATTGGCCTAAAGTAAAAACAAATAAAGATTTTGATACTCTCGTTCGTACAAGGAGTTCTATAAAAGATAACTGGACATTAGAACCAATTAAAGCAATTCTTTATAAAACAGGTTTATATTAATCACTAACTTTCGATTTCACACTTGTAATCTTTCTATATATTTTCTTTTATTCTAACCTCTCATTTCTTCACTTTCATAAATAATATTATATAAATAATTTACATAAATAAATATAAAATGTATTTCTTTCAATTTTCAGATTCATTTTTAAATGCTAAAGTTAAACTAAAGAAAGCCGAATATCAAAGTGATGTTGACTCACCATATAATACAGATGAAAAAAAGAAACAAAGAAGAGATCATGCTAAAGTACAATTTACAAGCGATAATGAAAGTGATGAAGAACAGATCCGTGAAAGAAAAACAAATGTTAAACTAAAAAAGAAGTTACCGCCACTTCCTCCAGTGCCAATTGCTATGTCTAGCAAAGCTACTAGTATATCAAACAATATTTGTTCAAATATTTCAGATGTCACGAAAATTAATGTATTGAACAATTCCTGTTCTGTTGTCTCAGCTGCTACGCATAGTAAATCTCATGTATCGAACAACTCTTCTCCATTTGTGGATATAAATAAAACATTATCATCTAACTCTAGAAGTCAAAAATTAGATATTTCTGTATTATCTTCCAATAATGATAAAGGTAAAAAGAAACTGTATAATACTTTTCTTTATATTAGTATCAATTTGTAAACAAAAATTTTGATGTAATTATTATTTTAGAAATGAATCAGGAAATTCATCAAATTTTGAAAATAGTACAAAACTTGAAGATATCTATGAATGGCCTCACTTCCTTAAATCGGGAAATCATTGAGAGACTAGATGTTTTGGAAAAAAATAGTGAATCTTTACAAGTGCAATCCGTTTTGGATGAACACAATACACTTGTTGAAGTTTTTCCTATTAAGACTGCAAATAGTCTTAAAGAAGTGGAAACCAAAATTGAAAACAACTCTGCATTCAAAGGAAAACTGGTAAGTTTTATACTTAAATATTATTTTATCTAAAATACTAAAGTACATAAGATGATATATATATATTGAAATTAAATTCAATTTTTTTGAAGGTGAAAAGTCTTACGCAAGTTACCAGTGCAGATATTAAAAAAACAATCCGGAACATTTTACATTATCTTATAACCGATGAAATGGCTCAAGATTACAGTTGGTTAGGACAAAGATGCAAGACTGCATTTCAAAATTTGGAGATATCTAAAATTTTGACACGTAAGTACTTTTCCTATATTCAGTATGTCTAATGATAAGTGTATTAGCATTTGTGTGTAGTGCAATAAATTGAATCAAACAAAATAAATTCTTTACTACGTGTATTTTGCAAACAACTATTATAAAATTGTTATTATATGTTATGGTAAAATGGTAAAAGCTTTCTAGTTAATTTCATTTTTTCTATATGCACACTAACGTTAACACTTCAGTCATTTAGTCTCATTTTATGAATACATAATTTAATAAATACATTTATAAATACATTTTATAAATACATATAAATATTCGTATGTTTAAAAGTTTTGATTATAGAAAATTATAGATATTTATATGTATCAAGATATATGAAAAAAATTTATTAAAATATTAAATTATTATAAGTTTATTATAATAAAAATATCCATATAACTTTTATATTAATTTTTTTAATATTTTCAAATTTTGTTTTAAAAAGTTTGTAGATACACTACAAATGATTGTTTTATATTTATATAAATATGTACTTTTAATGTTATATTTAACTAAAAGTTCGTACAATTTATCGGACAATGATTTTTCTTTACATCTATACAAAAACGATAAATAATTAATTCATCTTTCCACTCAAATACTTGTACTTACTGCTGCTTGTTTTTGTCTTATCATATATTACATTTACTTTATAATTTGTAATTTTATAATTTTTAGTTGTTAAAATACGACATGAAGATGCTACGTATGAGCAAATTTCTTCTGTTGTTGCAGAATGGTTAAAACATGCGAAACAAAGAGTACAAAGAAAATCTCAGTAAGTTTAAAAGACAATAAGAAAAAGTTTTTTATACTTTTTTTTCAATATAGTTCAAACAATATACTTTTATTGTCATTCATTTGTTCCAGGAAAGAGGAAAAATGCCGACAAAAAGAACCTCAAATAACTTCAGGTTCAGATAATTCGGAAAATAATGAATCTATTTAAACAAAAAAAACCAACTATTGAACTTCTAAATTGAGAATTGCTTACAAAAATATACTTGCGGGTAAAAAAACACTTCAGTTTGAAGAATGCGTAAACTGTATTATTAACTGTATCATTTTGATTTTATTATTTTTAAAATTTGCGAAAATTTTCATTTATTTCTTACGTGCAATATATACATATACTTGTATAAGATATGTATATGTAGAGAATGTTTATTTTGCACTAATAATAAATAATATTTTTTTTTTACATTTTGTCTTAGACAATTGTTACAAAGTAACAAATTTGTAAGTTTACGAAGGTTTTCATTTATGTTTTCATTTACGTGTACATATATATATATATATATATGCATATATTATAGATCAGTATTTAGAACATGCTTACAAAAATATCAGCGCGTTCTTATTCAAGGAGAATCTGTTTTTTGTACAGATTTTTTTATTGGACCATATACTGATCATATTAGTACATGCGTATGTAGATATATATATATATATATATATAGAATGTTAATTTTATTCATGCATATAGTAAGAAGTTTGTTTTTAATTTTTGCTTTAATTGTTACAAGTCAGTTTTAAAAGACATTGTAGAAATATATATATCTTTTTGTATGTTGCTATAAAAATCTAAAAATATATATACTTTTAATATATTCTAATGTATATTTACAATATATATATCTTAAAAAATAAAAATAAATTTTGTGATATTTAATTTAAAACAAAAATTTAAAATTTATTTATTTATTCTTATTGTACAATATTAAATAGTGTAACACACACTTGAAAATGATCAATCGATTTTGAAAAATTGAAATTAGTTTTTACTATATAACGAAAATTTTATATTAAAAATTATTATGGTGTGTATATACATGTATATGTATTA